AGAAATCTGCGTTCTGTTTGTGAAGTCCTGTATTAGTAAGATATGTAGCATGGAGGAAGGGATGGGTAACAAATAGCTCTGGCAGCTGTTGGGGTTTCTGGGCTATTCGTCACCAAGGGAAGGGTTTGGCACTGGGCACAGTGCATTTGTCACTGGCACATTCCTTTCTATCAGTGGGAGTGTCTCTGTCCCTTCTTCCTCCCCGTAAATGGATGCAGAACTTTCTTATCTCTAATGACCCATTACTACTTTTCAGCAGATAACTCATTTAGGGGAAGGGGAGACTCTGATCTATCTAGATTTTTTTTTTTAAATCCATATCTGCATTTCCAGAATGTTTCTACACTAAAAGCAGATACTCAGAAAGCCATCGTTTCTTAAAGGGATGCTGCAAAATAATCTTCCAGAATTGTACTATCATCTTGTATCTTGGTTTTCTTCTTGAGCCCCACATTGATGTTCTCCCTGGAAAAAATTAAGTCAAGTGTGGGAGCGATCTGCTGCTACTAATTGATAGTTTCCAGAATTTGACATGTATTAGGATCTCAGTGATCCAAACCAAATAACATGTTTGGAAAACAAAATCCAAACTGTTGGGTGTGTATATTAAAAGCTTTGAAATAAGTCGACCTAAACATAACTACGTAAAATACACTGCTCTACTGCAAGGAGACACTGAAAATATATGTATACAGGTGTTAGCATTTCCAGTGGATATTTTCTGTATGTAGTTACCTTAAGAAATCAACTAGACTGTATTACAGTCTGCTTGCTACTGTTAGTTGTATGACTGTCTTGTACAATTTTTATTCTTAAGAATACCTCGAAGTATGTTAAAATAATAGGAAGTTGTCCTCATGCCTCAAACCTGAGCCTCAGCAGAAGACCAGGAAGCAGGTCGAGGCTCTGGCTAGGTTGCCATCACTGGGGTCTCTTTGGTTGTTGGCATGGCAAGCTCCTCTTTCACCAGGCTCCTCTCTGCTCTGCATGGCAGTGTGCCAGCGTTGCAGCTGTATACGCTCACTTGTGTGAGCATGCTGTAAATCAGATGAGTGAGTTAATTTGGGCATTAGAAATGCATATTAGAAAAACCCAAACAGAGAAACTGACTCTTTGGTCCTGATTCACAGTGTGAATCAGAGTTGTGTTGGCATAACCACAGGGCAGCAAACAGAGACGGCTGGAAGGGAAAGAGAGATCAGGAAATCCTTAAGGTAGAGCTGCTGCCAAAGCCTTTGTATTGTCAAGCAGGGGCCTTAGTGACTAATTTTGCTATTTAATCTTGAGCAAACAGTGGAACTGGGAATAAATTCCTTGAGCTGTAGCTCAGTCTGTTGTTTCCACGTCCCTTTCTTTTATTATATAGTGGTCCTTATTAGAGAAGCATTCATCCTCTAATGCTGACCAAGCGTAAACTATTTTGGTGAATGTGCATTTTGTTCAAATGTAACTAAGGTATTTGGTATCTAAGCATATAATCTACTAACAAGTGCACGTTATTTTTGTCCCATTTGTCTTTTTTTCTGTTTGCTAAACGATTGACGTAGTTCAGATGATTTACACAGAAGGTATTAATTCTCCATGAGTGGTTATTTCACATCTTTTGCAGCAGTGTTCAACCTGGAATTATTCAGTTATGCTTCGTAATTATTAAAATATCCCCACACTTTATCTCATGGCCTTTAGATTTTTATGCTGCATTTGATATATATTTTCCAGGGTGGTTAATTTTGAAGTTGTTCATAAAATTTTATTGAAACCACTGCCAATATTTGAGGTTTGCGCTTCATGAATGAGAAACTGTAGGTTTTGAACTTGAGAATTCTGTGCTAGCTGGAGATTGACACTGAAGTTAGATTAGGTAACCCAGTCTTCTTTTAAACTTCAGAATAAGTGCTAAAATATTGAGACTAGTGGAATCAGATGAAACACACAGTAAAAATTTTTTCTGTACAATATTGACTGTTCTCTTTAGCAGCTTCTGTTGCTTAGTTCAGACATCTCTAGTGAAGTTAAAGAAATGATAAAACCTTTGGGAAGGCAGAGAGGTTAATTTTTGAAATTTAATGAAGTTATTTAGTAAACAGTGTGGAACTGTCATTTGGACAGGAGCATGCTTCTTTCAGCAGATTGTTTTTAACGTGCATCTTTGAGCAAGGCAGCAGCCTGCGTATGTTACAGCGCAATGGCATTCATTTATTCAAGCCAGAATAACAACCTTAATTTCATAAAGACTTGTTTCTACCATCTGGGTTCTATCATCATAATTTTGAATTAAAATATCAAATTTCTTTTTAGAATTGTCCAATGTGTGATTGCTGTTTAATTGCATTGATGAAGGTATACCAGCAAGTTGGTTACTCCTTCAGTTGCTAGAACAGCTTTCATGTGACAAATGTTTGTGTAATCAATGCTGCATGTACACTTTAGTGCTTGTGTTCAGAGACATGTTCAAAATAAACTTCTAGCTGTTCATGAGTGTTTAAAAAGTTTAAAACCTGCTTTGCTGAAGTTCCTGCATTCCACATGTTCTAACCTATTCCATCTAATACAGTGTGAGAAATGGATGGTTTCGGTCACGTTTTTAGAACTAGATAGCCGCGTGTATGAGAAAGGAGGCAGAGGTAAGAGCAGGAGTTCACTGTTAGGTAGTAACAGGTTGTCAAAGACGGTAGGTTCCTGCCTTTTCTCAAAGCTGCAAATGGTTTTGCTGTGTTGCAGAAGAGGTTTCTGCCAGTTATGACTTCTAGCTTAGTGCTGATGATATGTCTGGTAGTTCAAATCTACACATTAGATCATGCATAATACTGCATAATATTTACATTTTGTGATAACTGTTTATGAAGCAGAAATTCAATTAATATAACTGCTTCATAGTGTATCATCACAACATTCTATCAACTTGCTATTTTAAATGCAATATCAGGGCTGGGGGGATGGAGAGGGAGGGCAGTGGATTGTGCATGCATAGCTCAGACATGGTTTGTGAGCTTGGCCACAGTGTAGATGTACAAGGCTCTTATTTCGCTCGGAGGAAGAGAGCATGTGGATCCAAACTGCATCTTCTGATAGCTGCATGCCTCACAGAGAAGCAGCTGTGAAAACTTAAGACATTCCAGTAAGATAACAGCAGTGGATTTCTTCTTTGAGATTTTTTTTTTTGTATGTGAAAACAATTCTATAGATCTTGGATTTGCGCGGATTCTGGGACTATACATTACTCATCTGGAATCCCTCCTCTTTTCCCTTTATGTAAGGGCTATTGAAGAATTAATATATACCTATGTAAGTAAGCAACTGATTGCTCTAGATTAGCATGATTTGTATGTTTTTATGCTTGGACTTTCCTATCAAAACAAATTGCTTAAAGGATCAGAGGCCAACAGGCATAGCTTGAAGAAATAAAGTAGTAATGCATATAAATTACAAAACTGGAAAAGCTTTGCTAAGGGTAAACAACAGCTTGCTTCTGTTGTTAGCATAGCAAACATGTGAATGGACCACTGTCCCCTATTTATGTGTGTGAAATGTTTCTCTGCCTGCATTTGGGGTTCAGACATGCTTACTAGTTGATGTGAATGTTCTTAAGTTTTGCAGTGTTTGTAGCCCAAGTATGCAGGCCTGTTCATGGTTGAGTGTAGATGATACACTGATATACAGAAACAGCTGAGTGTTCCTCATGTTGCAAATGACCAATATAAATGATCCCAGAGAACTCATGAGGAGCAGAAGTGGGTACCATGTTCAATCACAGAGCTTCCTTCTGAAAGCTGGTGTGACCAGATGGGTACTATAGTGACTAAAGGCAGAATTTTTCACTGTTTACTGGACTGCTAAAGTTTGGAAGAATACTTTCAGGTATGGCCTCTGCTTTTGTAATTGCAAATAATGAAGGAAATTCTGCCCTAATGATCTTAAACCTTCAGGCCAAGGAGTGTAAACCTTGAAAATACTCTCTATCAGATATGAAAAGTATAATGCTTATTCACTGTGGTGCTTATACAGCCTCACAAGAACAATTTTCTGTTCTCTGCTTAGTAACCAGCCTGTCTGTAGTCAACACATTAGGTAACAGCCATAGCACATGCATCTGAAAAGAAATCCATGTGCTCATGATAAAGACAAAACATTTCTCCAATAAATGCTCGTAAAAAATAAAAAAAAAATAAAATACAACAGCTATGTATTTCAGGAGGGTTTTTATACTTATACATGTAAGTATTTGACATCAAGAGATGTGTCATTGCACAGGTCAGCTGCATCTCATGATTTTGTGCTCATGGCTGCCTGATTTCTTCATGATGGACATGACCGCCCCACTGGTACTGAGTGTGAAGGTGCTCTCCTCAAACATGGGGAAAGAGAAGAAGCAGTGGCTGTGTGAACTGTGTCGAGTTGTGTTAAGTGTTTGTCTGAAGACTGCTGTCTATGTTGACCAAACCCTGTAGTAAAATATGTGACCTGACGCAACATGGGTCTGAATCTTGAACTCTGT